TCCGCTGCTCCGGGAGCCGCCAGGGCCAGAACCCGGAGCGAAGGGAACGCCCCGGGCCGGGAGTGGCTCGCGGCCTGGCGTCAACTCAGGCGGCGACCTGGGCCACTTCCAAGGGGTCCGGGCTCCGAGCTCCGCCACTTTCGTGAGTGACAAGGAGGGCACCCTTGGAAACCGGCGGCGGGATGGGCACTGGGGAAGAGTTGCCTGGACCCGAAGACACGGATCGGAGGGCGGCCGAGCGGCCTGGGATTACCAGCCGAGTGGGGCGGCCCTGGGCGAGGGGAACGAAGATGGGTGTGAACGTAGGGGGAACCTGCTCCTGCTCAACCCAATGCGGCGAGTGCGCCAGTCTCCTTCCTTCTGTCTCCGCTTCCCTCCAGACCTTCAGCCTTGGGCCAGAGGGTGGCGGATCCAAGGCGATCGCCTGCCCGAGCGCACTGTGCGGCGCGCAGTGTCCAAGCCGCGCTCCAGGCCGGGCGGGGAAGGTGCGAGTCTACGTGGAGTCTGTCACCAGGGTGACTCGCGGTCACCCGGCCGGCCTTCCCTGCAGTAGATGGCGAGGACAGCCAGGCCAGCCGGGTTCGCGACTTCAACGAGGCCTGACGGTCGGCGAGGGTGGCCCTCTCCATCTTTAGAGAAGCGGGGAGGACGAAGGGGTTCACACCATTCCCGTGCTGCCCTTAAACTCGGGCTCCCCCCTGCCCTTCACTGTCACTTGGTGCGCACCTAGTCCTCGGCGACCTAAGAGCCGTTGAGCACACTGGCTTGGGCAGACTGAGGTGAGGGGCGAAGAGGCCGCCCTCCTCGGTGTCCCCGCCTGGCCTGTCACATCTGCACTTATTTAAAGCTCGGCTGGTGGTCCTGGCTCTCTGGAATGCCAATTGCCGGCCTGGCCTCCTAAGACTTTTGCATTGATCAGGGAGCCAGTAACGGGGCGGTGGGAGCAGTGAGGGAGGCCAAAGGTTCACCGTTCTCTGCCTGCCGCCTCCCTCCAGCCTAGCCTGGAGCCAGGCGCATCCCACCGCCACCAGACTGCTGAGTGTGTCGGGGAAGGCAGAGCTAAACCTGAAGAACTTCGCTGTGTATGGGAACGGGCCATAGACAGTCAGTAGATGGTGATCCTGGGCACTCACAAGCCAAAGCGCCTCTGTATCTTGCAGAGAAGGCGAATGTGTGGTTACCCCAGTCCTAACAGGGAACAAAGCGTTGGATCTGCAGCTTCCTCGGTGTGAAACTCTTAAAAACTATTTTCTGGTGCAAGTCCATAAAAAATGAGACTGACTTGCCTTGCTTTAAATACTGCAACCAGAGTGTAAAAAAGGCACCAGCCACCTGCAGCAGAGATGCCACAAGCAAAGAAGTTGGGTGCAAATTACTGCATTGCTGAAAAAACAAGTTGTATTCCAACGTTCTGTAATTCTCTTGGGCTCAGGGCAAGGTCCTTGGGAGCAGAAGAGAAGGGGAGCTGTTTTAAAAATTCCATAAGCCTCGAAGAGTTTGGTCAGATTTTTGTATTTGCCTTTGGATTTGGCATAATTAAGGATGAAAATAAGGCCCCTCTGTTTTTCTATGTGCCTTTCCTCATCTGCAAAGCTTTTACCCCGAGGAAAGTTGTTTTAGTAATATGGGAAAGAGAAACCATGTGCTGAGTCAGCAAAAACGCCGCGCCAGTTCAGTTCAGGAATACTGCTGTGTGTCGTGCACACACTCTTATACCTTTGTGCAAATCATGAAAAATATATTGAGATTTTCATGGCATAAGAAATACCCACAAAGCCTTTTGGCAGTTGAGAGGCCAAGTTGAACTGTTGCTGTGTCTTTTAATACAAGAGAACAGGTTTTGAACATGCCTTCCAACAAGTGTTAGACCCCATGTCGATTACTGTGGAGCAGACAAGAAAATGCATTTCTCAACGCAATATAAAATATTATTTTAAAGTGGTTGTGTTGCAGAATATTTAAATGTTTCTCTCCACATTCTTGTGACAAGTGTTCTAGATGCCTCTACTGAATGGAATTTTTTTTTTCATTTTGCATCAATAAAAATGTTTCTCAAAAATGTATTTTTAAACAATCTGAAAATTCTTGCAAATTCCATTAGACCTTTGATAAACTAATGATCACACATTAACATTTATGTGGAAGGAGTAAATGTATTCGGAGTTGTTTGGAGTAAAATTCCTAAGCTGCTCAGCTGGTCAGAAGGACTGTTTTCCACTGTCCTAGTATTGACTTCAATTTGCAAAATCTTAGCATTTCAACTGTTCAACAACACAGTCCAAACTGTATTTTCAGTGACAGACACTCAGTATTAGGAAATTTCTTCCTGCTTCTTTTAATTCTTACAGATTAGTTGCAAAAAGACACATGTAGTTTTTTTCTTTCTAACTAGCACAGTACATAGAGAAACAACCAAAAGCTTACTTCAGTTTCATCTGTCAATTCTGCCTCAAACCTTAAATGAAATTAGTCGAGCTTTTATGCTACTATTTAGATTCTTTAAAATATAGCTGTCTTCTTTAAGTTGTTTCAGCATAATGCAAAAACATCTGGATGTGAAATGAAAAATTCAGTCTGTCACCCAGCTTCCAGATGTTCAGTACTACATAGACAAAACATCAGAATGAATGACTGAATTCTTTTTCTCTACAGCCCAGATGGTTTAGTGTCTGATGTGTCTATAAGGAAGCATATTTTCCTTTCTCCAAACATCACATCCTACTGTATCCCATGTAAGGCATGATTTACACTGTTTCAGTTAGAAAATGCGGGGCCATTTGGAATGCGGTAATGCAATCAGTAAGTGAAATTCTAAGTATATGTTTTGGTTAATGTAGTCCAAGTGTTAGAGTGTGCTCAGTAGGGGAGTCTGGAAGAAAATGGGGAGGTAAGAGAGATCCTTGTTCCATGGCAGACCAGCATGGCTGAAAAGACACAGCCTCCAAAACTCCATCTATGGCATCTCATAATCTTAAATAGGTGAAATGTAGCAGCGGCTTGGACGGGTCTGTTTTTTGCCTGAGATGCAACCAGACTATGAAATGTCATTATGCAACATGATGCCCTGTTTTCCTACTACTCCTTCTTGGAGCATTATCAAACCAAACAGATGAATGTAATGTACCATTAAAACATGGTTAGGACTCAAGCTTTAGACAGGGAGGGGGATTCTCGGTCTGAAAGTGAGAGGGCAATATGGTGGGTATTTTAATCACTCAAAAAAATACTGTGATGACAAATAGATTTCTCTTCTTGTGAAATCTTACCACATTTTACAGTTGTTAGACTGTGAAGACACTAAATAACATTTTTTCCTTCCCCTGAATCTTGGAGATTCAAGGTCATAGCAGAGTCAGAACTTTCTCAAGTCTTTTTGCTTTACCCATAGTTTTGGGAAAGGAGGGACAGACGGGAGAGGCCTTCCACTAGAATCAGTAGATGAAATCAAACCCAGAATGAATTCCAGTCTACTTATTAACCTCACATTCACTGGATTGTAGGAGAATGTTTAGATAACGAATACAATGAGTGTTAAAACATCACAAAACCTACCACTTAACAATCGCTGCAAGAAAAACATACCATTTTAAACAGACCATCTTACAGCTCAGAATCTGAGCTTTGAATAATAAGACACATGATTTTATAATGGCCCAAAATCAATTTTAAAAAATAGCAAATGGGAATCTGGTAGAATTTCAGGGGAACACATATTGAATAGGTAAAAGGCTCATAGGTTGAGCAGGATTCTTTACCACCATGTAAAGCAGAATCACAGTTATTTTTCAGGATTGCTATAATCGAATATTTTCATAACTTCTTGTGACACATCTACTACAATAATAAAATGATAGTGCTGAAACTGACTTTGAGTTCATCTATGGCTCCTCTGCCCTTTACAGATAAGTAAACTGCAGACCAAAAATATGAAAGAACCAATCCAAGGCCACACATGAGTTAGAGGAAGGGTCAAAAGTCAGGTCAGAATTCCAGTTGTGAATCACAGAATCCAACCTTCCTTCCAGCACAGCTTGCCTTTGAATTATTGGAACACCACTCAGAGTTAAGATTTCCTGGTAGAATCCCAGAAACTGACACCCATCACTACAAGCTGGAAATAGCTCCAAACCATTAATTTGTGTTACACATCTAAGAACCATAAAGCAAAGCTAGTGTGAAGGAAGAGTTTCCCCATTTGTCTGCAGAGGAAGACAGACTATTGCAAAAACAGAACTAATAAAACTCCATCATCACCAACAATTTGGCTAGAGATCCTGTTACTAGCAAATGACAGTTTAGCTTTTTATAGAATACTTACTGCACCTTGAAAGAATGTCATCAATAACATTTGCTTTGGCCTCTTTTCTCTGAAGATGACACATCTGATCATTCCAAATAAGTGACCTTATTGGGAAGAAGGGAAAGATGGCTGTAGTCAGCCCCATTCCATTATTTGTGTGTGTGCAGTACTGGGGATCGAACTCAGGACCTTGCGCTTGTCAGGTAGGCATAGTTCCACTAAGCTACATCCCCAGCCCATCCCTACTCCACTCTTTACAACAGATATGAATGCCAGTGGCTCAGAGCCATTTCCACCTACTACTTCAGTTGGTTTTCAGATGGGATGGAGGAGAGGAGATATGGGGAAGGTGGATCAGAGAGAAACACCTGTTTAAGGACTTTTAGATGGCAATTTGAAGTGTACATTCCTGATTTCAAGGACTAGAGCATGTCACTGGCCCTTCATGGCATGAGCCAAGGAAATGGGCTCATGTGCAATGTCACCAAATCTCTTCCACTTAATATTTTATTCAATACTAAATGAGAACTTTAGAAGCACTACAGTATTTCTAGGAAGAGAGGACAACTGCTTCTTCATGCATGTTCTGGTTCAAGAGACACAAGGAAGGTTAACAATTAGGAGAGATGGGGGAGGGAGGAGAGGGCGAAATCAAGACCCAGTTTTAGCAAGTGTGAGAAAAGAATACTTGTGTTTTGATTGGCCTGAGGAGAGACGAGATCCTAGTAAGGCTTTCCCTTTAAGCTAATTCCTCAGAGAGGCAGGATCTGCCCAGAATTTGGGAGTGGGTGTGGGGAGAAGTCTGACAAACTATATTCTTTTTGAGATTCTTAGGGGAGCAGCTAAACTAGCAGAAGTTAAACCAAATAAAGCCCATGTGCCCACTTACCTCTTTAATTTACTCTCCCAAACAGATCATCATTTGGGCTATTCCCCTCAAGTCAAGCATGAAATCTAGTTAGCTGGATAGCTACCCATTTCCTCTGACCTGCAAAAGAGATGCCCTATTCTTTCAGAATCCCCAGGATGCCAGAATCCAGGGAAAACTTGAGTCACATGAGTGGGCATACTGAGATTTCCCTACCGCTGTCCAGATGCCAGAAGAACACATTAACAAAAATGGAGCAGACACTTAGCACCTCCCACCCAGAATCATAGCTACCAATTCATCAGCATGAGTCACTGAATAGTTTTAAATTGCTATGGGTTTAAGAGGATCTTTTAGTTGACTAATTTTTTTTAACCTTTGTTAT